AAAAGAGAAAGATTTTTATTTTTTATTTTTATCGTTTTTTCAAGAAATTTATTTAGTTTCATTTTCTTTTTATTTCATTTTCTTTTCACCTTTTGCTCTTCCTTTGCATCAGAGGTTTTTGAGCGATAATTTCTTAAGGAAGCATTTTTCGACCTATGTTTATAGGAAATTTTTTGTTCAGAATTAAATTTCCTATAAGATCACAAAGTCTGGCTGCAACGTTCGGGGCCACCCTGTATAATATATAACTAAATTGCATCATTGTATACACGATATGTGTATATGACCTATGAAATCAATTTAATTATATTATTCTGATATCATTATGAATGTTATAAACAGCTGTTAAAGGTAAAGATAATGGAGCAGATAATTTCGATAAATTATCATGTTATTACAATGCGTGATTGTCAGATATATACTTCGTGTCAAGAAATTTATCCTTTTCTACGAAACAAAATAAAATTAATCAAAATACGCGCACATTATTTTAAATACCGCACACTTACTGGAAGACCTTTAGAGTGGTCAATGCACCATCTCGAATGCCAGGACACGACTTTGTTTTTTATTTAAGCAGATCGCTTCCTTTCCATTCTCCGCGATGAGAGAATGGAAACGGCCAGAATGCCTTCGAGCCGAATCAACAGGATTATGCTAACCGATATTAATGCCTATGGAAATATAACAGGCGGATAATCGGTAAACCCACTATCATGACAATTCCGGATTCTATGCAATAGCTTCCTTCAAGCTTCGTTGATCGTAAACGTTTTAATATGGGGTTAACGGAACGTCGAAAGTCAAAATTACGTGCGTGTATTGTACAATCGACAGTGCTCATAGGCCGTGACAACGTGTGTTAAATAATCATCCGCCAAAGAAGTAAATATTGATTAGTCATAGGTGTGATTTTTGGAAAGAAAATGAGAATTAATTTAAAAAATGATTTTATTGCGTTCAAAATACAAAGCACATAGAAGAATTGAAAGATATATATAATATATTATTTAAAGAATGTCAGGATTTCGTTATCTGTTTAAACTCCGAATATTAATCCATTCGAATTCTGTAATTTTTAATTATTTATATAAAAGCTTTTTATGCATATTATATAGAAAAACGATAGTTAATTTCTTTTTAGTTTAATCTTATTAATCATTAAAAGTATGTAATGAAGATGATACTAAGATATCCTGTATATATTACATAAAATTCTACAACGTCATTAAAGATTCACTACATTAATTTAACGATTCGATCATCTTGTCACCGAATGTTGACATTTATCAATTTATATATTCTGACAGCTTGTATCTTCCTGTCTTGTATTTCATTGTTTATAATCTTCGATCTTAATGCAGTAGGTGTGACAATTTACATAAAAAGGATGAAAAGAAATACATCTGTTCAAGGTATTGGAAAGCCGGTAGTTACGAAAACCGGAAATATTTAGTGTATCGCGAAATAATTTATTTAAATCTCGCATAACCATGGGTATTGGGCAAGGTCACTGACTACGGGAACCGGTAAAGTCCGCTGCACATAAATTCGCGGCTTTTTTGTAGACGCCTACATTCATAGCAATCTGGAGAATTATCAGAAATCTAAACGTTATATCTCCTTTAATTAAATTTCGTGAGATGTACGAAACTTGCCGAATAATGCACTGCCCACAAGCGTGAGAAAGAACCCCGCACTAATCATATGGAAAATCTGTCCCGGTCAAATCAATTGGTTTTTACATATGTTGTAGCTTATGATCTACTGAACAAAAGATGTAATGGGCACAAAGCTCAATAATGGACAGTTATCGAGTATAACCAGTCAAACATGAAAAATTCGGGTTGCCGAATAGTCAAATCTCGGAAAGTATTGATTTTTTTGAAAAATGTTTGAAACAAACATAGTAGGGTTTTACAAAATCTGTTAGTTGGTGACATTATTTGTGAATTTTGAATGACCTTGAAAAGCTCCGTGAACAAAAATCTTTATGTGTCACAGCAGAGATAAGGACCCCACGGTTCGTCACTCCCGTAGTATGTTTTGACTCCAAACCCTCTCTGCTGTGTGTGTATGCGTGTGTGTGTATATGTGGGGTAATAAAAGAAATGATCTTATTGTATATTACTCATTATTTGGATCCTGCTGTGGTGGTCTCTGAGCGGCATCTAATATTGTGTTCAATAATGATGAAGAGGGATAACGAACATTGGGCTGGTCTTGTGCATATCCTAAATACCAATACTTATATATAAACGTTTAAATACTCGATAGATTAATCACCAGGCTTCTCAGGCAATGACTAAACAGAATCCTACTTGATGGAAAAAGAGTTCGAGTTGTTATTCTGAAAAATGATAATTAGTTATGCAAATTCGACTTTGAAAATTAAATATAATGCAGATGAAGAGAGAGAGATAGAGAGAGAGAGAGAGAGAGAGAGAGAGAGATGTTTCAAACATTTTTCAAAAAAATCAATACCTTCCTAGATTTGACTATTCGGCAGTCCGAATTTTTCATGTTTGACTGGTTATAATTCGATAACTGTCCATTATTGAGCTTTGTGCCCATTACATCTTTTGTTCAGTAGGTCATAAGCTACAACATATGTAAAAACCAATTGATTTGACCGGGACAGATTTTCCATATGATTAGTGCGGGGTTCTTTAAACATATACGTTACGCAAGGATAGATCTATCTGAAACCTTATAAGAAAAAATTGAGATGATAATTACTCTTATAAATAGCGTAAAATTCACTGAAAATATCAGGGATAAAATTAAGATAATCATTATTAATTCCTGCTTTCTATATATAATTATCAAATAAACAAATTGTTCATTAGAAATTATTCATTGTAAGTGTTATTCTGAAAAATGATAATTAGTTATGCAAATTCGACTTTGAAAATTAAATATAATGCAGATGAAGAGAGAGAGATAGAGAGAGAGAGAGAGAGAGAGAGAGAGAGAGAATCTTGGCATAAATCGACCTATCTGGAATCCCCCGATGTAAACGAGTCAACGTCGACGAGTGTTACCGGTTTTCCGTTGTGATCAACATTACTAAATCGTGTAAAAATCATGACACATCGTATTTAACATGCGTTCAATGACGTCGTATGAACTTACGAGAACAAGAGCTGAACGGCAAGGACGGTGGATGTTGCACGCAGTTTGCGGTCGACTTAACTTGTAGCCGGCGGCGAAACACGCGACGTTGGTATTAAAGGTTTTTCCAGCCAATACGAGCATAATCAATTTAATCGATTGAATCTCTATTACAACATTTATTTTCCTTTTTTTTTAAGTGGACTTCTCTCGGAGCTATTTATCTCCCACAGAGATGCGCGCTTACGCAGAAACCTAGATTTAATGTGCACCGTGATGCATAGCGATTGCCATAAAAAATAATCGATCCGAATTACATAATGGATGCTATTGGAAATGAGCGATCGCAGATTGTAGAGATTGCAGCGCAAACACCTAAAATCTTCTTCCGTCCTTAATATCATGAAACGTTGCCTTCATCGGCAAAAATGATATTGCGTGCAACATCGGCAGATATAGAACAGAAACGCACAATGACGAATAGATAGACGTTCTGTTATGTAATGTCCGAGCAATTATCTCACAACTGATTGAAGTTACAAAAAAGAATAGATAGACGTTCTGTTATGTAATGTCCGAGCAATTATCTCACAACTGATTGAAGTTACAAAAAAGTTTAATAAGAGAAATTAGCATAGTTTTTAGTTTGCAATAAAGCGTATGTAAAAAAAATTTTTTTACTCAGAACCTTTTCAAGTTATGAAGGTCACCACCGTTTTTTTAAATGGAACTCCCTATTTTTTATTGCATATTCTTATAGCCCTTCTTGAGATCTTTTCAAAACACTATAATAAAGTATTTTTTCATTAAGTATTTTTCGAGTTTTTTATATCTTAATCTGACACATTTTGATATAAAATATATATTTTATATCAAAATATATATGTCAGATTAAGATATAAAAAACTTGAAAAATACTTAATGCAAAAATACTTTATTATAGTATTTTGAAAAGATCTCAAGAAGGACTATAAGAATATACGAGTAAACAAAATTTTTTTACATGCGCTTTATTGCGGATTAAAAACTGCTAATTTCTCTTATTAAACTTTTTTGTAACTTCAATCAGTTGTGAGATATTTGCTCGAACATTTATGGATGGATACTCTGTATAATTTACAAATTATATTTTATAAAAAGTTATGCAAAAACTACATAATTTGTATAATTATATGACATAATAACTCAAATGTACGCAATTGTACATGCCGTTGAACGGTAGCACGTTATATTATTTTATGGAACACAATATGTAAATAATATAATCGAGTAAACGTAAAAGTCTAAATCAAACATTATCAAATCAAATACGCTACTCCTCACCTCAATTTACTTCTGTAATATCTTTGATCCGCCAGGAAGTAATAACACTTGTACGTGCAATCGCCGTATTCTCTCTCTGAACTATGAATTTTCGAGATCTCTCAGAGTGTCTCATTGACCTATTGTGATAGTTTAATGTTCCTTCATTTCTTCAACTAATGATATTCAATATAGCTTTCTATGTATATTATTTTCCATTTATAAAAATAATACATTATACACTTGAATATCTCAAATATGTTCTACATCACGCTCGACCCTTGTTCAGCATACGGAGTAAGGTCAATTCTCGGCGGTCATTTATTCCGAGAAGCATTCGTCCCGTAACGAGCGGTCGGAATTTCGCCCTGAAACACAACCGTTTATTAACTGCTGAACGAACAACCTTGAAGATTCGCTCTGGCCGAAGAAGGTGGAAAATCCCCCGTGTACCACGATAGACAGGTATCGAGGGAGCTGTCGTTGAGCTCCCTCGCGGTGGGATGGCAACTTCGTGACTCGATTGGCCGGTCTTCCACGTGTTCACCGGCGCCCGCCGCAACTATCGGCGACGAACAGTGCGCGGTCCACCATGGTGGGAGTAACATATTTTTCAAATCCGTACTGATCCAAGTTTCCGCTACTCTTGCATCGAGGTGTATGCTGCACGCATCGTGCGAGGTGACATAAAATAGGTGGTGAAGATAGGCAGAATTTAGACGATTTCTAAACAATTGGTGAGGTGCGATTCGGGCTTCTCGCGCTGATAAACTTCGGAGATGAATATTCTTTCATCGAGATAGTCGCGATATTATCTCGGAAACGTACGATTATCGGCAATTGTCGCGCATTCTTCGGCGTTTTATTGATGACTAAGGGAGTCAGGAAGAGAAGAATTTCGACATCCGCAAGGTCATCCCGCGAGGACTGACGAATATTCGGTCAATCAGAAACGCCGAGAAGAAAGTGAAAGGCCTTTATGCCGAAGTTTAAATCGGAAGTACGGGGGTGTCGAAATCGCGTATAATTGGCAGGCGTCGTTCGTTGGGAATTACATAGCATTACGAATCGCGACGTGCTAGCCGATTAATTCCGTAAGCCGTCATCGAGCTAGAAGCGGATACTTGCCTTTATTGTCAGCCGCGACACGTTGCGACTGCTGAATCGCCGGCGATAAGTCGCTTACCCTCGTGATATCACTTATTCCGTAACGATACGAAAGACTGAATTGTGCCGAAAATGAAGGATCTCATGTTAATCTGGAATACTTTGTCGCGTTGTGGGAATTGTTCGTCGGACGATGCCAATTTTGATTCCGACAGATCGGACGAGCAGGATGAGAAGAGAGGATCGTCGCGAGTTTCGAGCAACATTCGAAGAAAGTCCTCGGTGATGGTGAATAGATTATTTAACACTACTCTACCAGTGTATTCTGATCGCAGAAGAAGGTGGCCAAAACGTAAGTAACAGGAAGTTTCGTTTCAGGGTCGAATAACAGAGACTACTTTATTTCTCGATCAGAGACAAATCAAAATAACTTATTTGTAAATTGAAGGCTACGTACGCCAAATGTGTATAAAAGAAAGATCTTCGATTAAGTGACATCGGATTTAATGAGGGTGACCTCTATAACGTTGTAAATTCCATAAATACAAGACGTTTTTAATTGCAAAAGCCGTTTTTAATCTGTGAAAAGAAATATTGTACGAAATTTATAATAAAAGACCTGGTTTTTATATGACTTATGTATTGTTATTCATTTTTAAACTGCTTCAATTTTACTCCAAATTATTTATAATTAAAAATATTATAAAAAATATAATTATTTTAAAATTTATTTACTTTTCATATAAATGTCTGGAATAACATAATAAATTACAAAAAATCAGCTGTTATCAAAATTCTCTCTTATATTGTACGCAAAACAGAATAAATGGAATAGACCCTAAAATCACAAGAACAAAAGAAAGATAGTGCTTTAAGACGGTAATTTAAGAATAATTGTAAATGCATAATGATTTATTATAAATAAGTATCTCAACAGCATTAAAAAATGTTGATACACGCCACACATTTCAGTTTACTTCAATGCTCTAGAAGAATTAGCATGCAATTTTTCTGAGCCATTGAATCCGAAGTATATCTCTGATGAGTCTTTCTTTTGCTATTATGATTGCATGTGGACGTTAATGGTTTAAAGTCAGAGATGGTATGTGTGATGATGATCGCATTTAACACAACTGTAAAAGTATATCCCGAAAAAAAGTTAAATTATATTACACTACGATTAATTGGTTGTTATCTCATGATTTTGGTTTCTCCCACAAATGTATATTCCACGTAGAAAATTTACTATTTAAAGTGGGATACAATAATGGTAAAAATAAACAAAGAGAAACACAAAATGTAACTGCAAAGGAAATAAATTGCCACATAGAAACCAGTTTATTTTGATGATAATGCAGAAGATTCCAAAAAATGGAATGGGCAGATATTTTTTTTCGACGCAAATGTATACCTTTCGGGCGCATATCGCGGAAAGTGAAACATGTGATTGCTTGTTCTCGAAAGAACGCAGCGTTTCCAATGTAAGAAAAAAGACATATAAGAATTGATCATGCGGAGATGTGCATAAAATTGAAACGAGCAAACCGGTTCTAAGCGTGTGGTATAGTTTACGAAAACGAACAAAAGCGAACGCTGGACCAAAAGTACAAATGCAGTTCATTCCGATTAAGTCGCTCTGCTTAGCCAAGCGCAAAATATTGACTTTTGCCAGATTGCAACATTGAAAATCTCCCATGAAAAATTTTCACGCGGATACCCATAAGTGCCCGCGCAATCAGTTAAATTACAAGAGAGCACCCATACTATTGGTTAAGTGCGCAGTATATGTAATTTGTATACTGTGGATATAATAACTCTATTTCGAAAAAAGAATAGAAAATGATTAGATAGATAATTGAATGCTTTCATATTCTATATATATCGAGAGAAAGAAAGATACACGTTCTATGTATAATATATATCTCATATGACGAAATTTATAATAACTTTGATAGAATATATTCGAATTTTAATTTGCTGATAAAGATTAAAGAAACTAATTGCAAGTGTAAAATACGTATAAAAAATTTTCTAGAAATAAGATTATATGAAAAAAATGAGATCCGGATTTAATAGATAATAGCTAATATCCATGCAAAATGACAGAATGGCAAAATATTATTCGACAAAGAAAGAAAAAAAGCGTATAAAAAGCAAGTTTTATGAACAACAAGCCATGAACATGATCGATATTGCTCACCTTCTTATATCAACTCTGGTGTATTGACTCGCTAATTGATCTTGATCGCATTTGCTATTCACATCGTATAGGAATCTTTGAGAAACAGGTTTATCGCGCGTCGATGTGCTGGTATTCAGTTTGCTTGCGCGACGAATGCAGCGACAATACACATAACCGTCTAACAAAATCTATGCTGAGAAATTATTTCGATAATTACCGCGCAATTCTACGTCGTTTTTTTTGCAAATTGTTAATAACAATTTTATCCGATGTTTATTATGCTGTAATATTATGCATTTTTGTATGCAACTTGTATAAAGTATGCTATTTTATATACGTTTTTCTTATTTCGTAAATTTGCTAGTAGCTTCAGAAATTTGTTTGTCAATAGATTTGTAATTACACACGTAGAAGAAACTAAAATATTTCCTACTGAATACCGTACACGATATTTGATATAACTAAAAACAAATCAAAGTATTTCTACAACTACTATAGAATTATGTATGAAAAAGAAAAATTTTTCGGATCATGAAGTAATCAGAAAGAATAAAATTTTTTTTTACGATGACCAATCTTACCTTCTTTTATATTTTGATGCTGATATAATCTCGAAAATTACATTGATATCGTCGAGCAAAACGTGCTGAAATGCTTGATTTGTACGTAAACAATCGTCGCTATACAGTTCAATCTGAGATACCGTCGTGCTTTTCGGCACGTTTTTACTCTGTTTACACAATATTGTTTATTTTACAAAACAGTTTACAATTAACAAATGTACTATCAATTGTATTTATCACAACAAAGAGATGTGAACGATCCGTTGTTTATAGATTCTAATTTGATGAGCTATTTGATCGCAAGTCACGTTCCGCGTTTGGTTACTCGTCTGAGACACGCATCGTCAAGAGTCTCCTCTAAACAATTCGGCGCTTAAAAAGCAAAAAACTGTAAGCTTACTTTTTCAAAGAAAACCGGCAAAGCACAAAATCATAGATATATACACTTTTGAGATAAACGAAATAAGCAAATAAATATATTTTCAGAGAGTCCAGTTTTACTTTTTTAATTGCAACGATAGAAATGTCTGAAAATGAATAATTATTTTGTATTACTTTCTTTCGCTTCTTAGATATTCTATAAAATATCTCGAACATAATCATAATGACGCGCTATGATTATAATAACTTTATCAGTGATAATTATCTAATAAAATCTATATAATTCAGATCATAATATCATCTAATAATATTTATCTAACATTTCGGGGTATGAAAAATTTGTTAAATTATTAAATCGCATACTTCGCGTTTATTTGATTATATTTGCATATCTGCGGATACGTAGCGACATAAAAATAATCCGGCGGCTTTTTTCACGACTGGACTATTTAGAGTTCCGGTTTCATCAAACCTGTTTTAGTATTATCTCTGGTCAGGCTATTTTGCTATAAAACCGTTAATTATTGGTCATAATTTAAGACAAATAGTAACATTTATATATAAATTCGTGATTCGAAATTCCCCTGGCTCTAAATTTTCGAAGAATCAATGCGTTTGTGTATGTTAAAGAATAAATGCCTACGCTTTATAAGGAAATGTAAATAAATTCTTATCTAAATAACACTTATTTAAATAACAATTTATAAATCTTTGGTATACAAAATATAGAGATTTATAACCGTCTTGTTAAATTATTATACTTTCATATTCTATGATTTATATGATTTTCATTGAATTCAATTTTTAATATAGCCATAAAATATATCGTTATAGCATATATTATCATATCGTTTAGTTGATAAAATTTTTTAAACATATTATCTTATCGCAAATTGCAAACATTAACGCTAATTGCATATATTATTTCATTGATTTATCGTATTTGCGACAAATACAGCAATTATCGCAATATAATTACAAAGGTAGCACAAACTAATGACAGAAAGATATTGTATAATGCCTGAAAGATAAAAATGCTTGGTTAATCAGCGAATTAATCATATTTATAGTTTTAAACTCGCTTACGGCATGTTCGATGTACCTGCCGGAAAGGAAAACCAGTTAAATTGACGAACACGTGAATATTTTACATGCATACTCATGTATGAAAGTAAAAGCCGATCAAAAGCGTGTGTTGCTTACGCGTGACACACACACTTTTTTATTCCCGTTCCATTGAATAAAAGTCGCCGACCGACTTAAAATCTGCGGCTACGTGTAACCGTGTCAATTAAACTGCACCGAAAGCAATAGGTAATTTAACGACCAGCAGACAATAAAGAGAAAGAAAAAAGAAAACGTATTGAGATAGGTAATGGTAGATATCGGAATTCGTGAGCGACCTTACGATCCGACAAGTACCATCACCGGCACCATAAAATTCAAGTTGTCAAAGTATCTTTATAAAATATTTCCGTGCGAGATAAATTTATTTCGCATTGGCGATGCGTTTACTATCGTCCGAATAAGACGTGAATGTTAAGCGGTCTTTATGCAAATAAAATATATACTGTACGATGTGTGCATTTTAGCAAACGTATTGTTTCGAAACTTGACAGCACAGAGATAGGAACGATACCTGTCGCAAAAATTGTTGTGCGAAGACAGAAAAGTACAATACAATTTTTCATTAAGTTGAAAACTATCTTTTATTCTTTAAAATATATGTGCTTGTGCCTGATTGTAATTAAATTTACAACCTATAAACATAAATATTTATTTAATGTCCCTGAATTTTAAATTGCAAATTACATCTCACAAAAAAAAAACTAATATTTCCGCTTAAGAAATTTTCATGAATTCTCGGACGATGAACGTGCGATAAATGTTGTATTTAGCTTAGCCTGTTGAACTTTGCAAGCTATATCTCAACAGTGCGCTGACGTTTTACATTTTATTAAAAATAAAATGTCGTAAAATAGAAACAACATTCATGCATTAAACATTCGAGAGGCATAGATAAGCGATTTGCAAAAATAAGTTCGCCGAAATAAAACGCCCCATATATACGCAGTGTGTATTTTCCTGTTGCAATTCAAATCATGCGCACGTTGTTCGTAACAGGTAGCTGCCGATCATTATTAACTACGCGCAAAGAATATAATGATAGTCGCGTATCTGCGGAAGTTTCTTGGTCTATACGATCTGCTTTAACGGAACACCCCG